TGTTTTCGTCTTTTTGCCCCTCGTCTTGTATTTGGTATTCTGTACTTTTTTGTTTCTAGCTTCTTGCTGGATTCGCTTATGTTTTGTTTAATATTAGTGGTTGGCTTGGTTGTGGGTGATGGCCTTGCCGAAGCTCTCTTCCTTGCCCTTCCTTTTGCCTTTCAAAAAAAAAAAAAACATATTAATCAAATGAAATGGATGGTTAAGAATGAGTTGTATTGGTTGTACAAATATCAAAGGTTGTATAATAACCGATATATATATATATATATATATATATATATATATATATATATGTATGTATATTGGAAAGGTCAAACTTGTATTCATGGGATCTAAATCCAAGGGACAAACCAAATCATAAATATGCTTAATAAATTTGGTCATGCATTTCTTTTGAAATTATGAAGGTTTTTAATTTCATTGTTTTATTGATAAAAGGTTTACTTAATTAGAAAGTAACACAAAATTATTGTATACCGGGTTGACAAGAAAGATTAGTTATGAAAATGTTGCTTAGATTTTTGTTAAACTTAATTCGACAATGAATTGATATAGGAAGCAACACTTAATGTTAGGCATGACACATGCTCATAAGCGATGTTGAATACTAATTTTTTGTTAAAACTATAGCTTATATATATGTATATGTATATGTGTATGTATATATATGTTATGTATATATGTTACAATTACTATAAAAGTGATTCATGTACCAACCCAAAAATGTTCGAACATATACTCATGGTCAACAAGAGGCACATCCTTCCAGCAAGCCCACAGACCATGAAACGATGACTTGAATATGGAAGTGACCTCCTAAACAACATGAGGATCTAAAAACCTGCACAATTGAACAATATATACAAGACAAAAGGCATTCATATCATTTTATTATGTAATATAAAGCCTTATACCATATCTACTTGCATGTCGCCTCCCAGATCCAGCTGCTTCGCTAACTCAAATGACATGGCGTCGACATCGAACGGTTGGGGACTCTCCTTGACCCCGAACTACTTGAACGTGGAACCTTAATTTGATGCTCTTCATCCTCTGATAACGCCATTTTTGGTTTTATTTTGATACTATTTCCTGTGTAGTTTCTCTCAGTTTCCAAGCAAACAAAACATTTCTCTAAGATTTTGATGCAAGATTGTACAAGAAAAGTTTTCAAGGAGATCTGTAAGAACCAAGAGATTTTGAACTTCATTTCAAGAATTTACAATCCTTTTATTAGAGGATTAAACGAGGAACCCAACACTATGCTTTGGAGAAGAATTGGAGCTAAGGTAAAGATCTGTTGCCTAAACAGTGTCCACCATGGGTTTCCTCATGAGTTTGAAGCATGCCATGCGAGTTTAATTCCTCGAGCAAGTTTCCACACGAGTTAAGTCACGTGGAAAATCACGGTTGTATCCCTTTTTAGTTTATATTCATTTGAAATAACTCTTTTTTAACTTATATATATCGAAACACTGAAAAAATTAAAAATATAATGTCAAGAAAAAACTAAATTAACCTTTGGAGACGAAAAAAGAGTAAAGGAGGGGAGGTGAATTGTTGTATAGTACAAGTCGTCAATGCATGTATTTGTACATTATAAATAGAAAATGAATATCTTCAAACTAAAACTAAAAAACCAAACTTTAGTTAAGTTTTTTAGTTCGATGGAACAATATCTCTACATTTTTTACTAGTGATTAACAATTTTTATATTTAATAATAAATATAGGTCATTTTTAATTTTTTATAAATTTAATGTAATTTATTACGATTAAATCGTGAAATGATTTTTTGTACACACTGAATTAAATGACACTCATAATAGTTTGTTGGCCATTATCTCCATTTTGTTTTTAACCAAACCAATACTAATTTAGCTTATCATCGATGTCAGATTGAAATAAGTCAAAAAACACCTAAAATAAGTAATCCCAAACACCCTCTAATTTATAATGGAACTACAAAAATATCAAACAATTATTAATTGAAATCATGCATTACATAATTTTAATTAATTACCACCATTAAAAGAAACAAAACACGTCATACGATCGACTCTCATTTACATCAAACCCTCCTAATTTGGTTGTAATCTTTTCCTTTTTTGTTATGTCATTTCTTAAGCATACAAAAGTATAAAAAAAAGAAAAAAGAAAAAAAAGAGAGTAATTTCTCTCGTTTCATAATCTCACCAAGCCCAAGAAAACCAGAAAAAGAAAGGGAAAAAAGAAGAAGAGTCAAACTCTTTCCATGGCAATCTCTATAATGATGTAGGGTAAGAAGATAAGATGGGTCCCATGTTCGATGCAGAAGGTACACCGATTTCTTCACCACCAAGTTGTACTTCTTGATGTTCATCATCCCAAAATAAATAGCTTGGACATTGTTGGCTTGTTTGATCCACAACCCATCCATTAAACTCATGTTGCTTCTGAATTAAGCACTCTCTTCCTTCCCCATTCGTCAAATGACAATTTTGCCCCTCTACCATGCTCTCCAAATTCTCCATTAATGGTGGCAAATAACTTGAATACATGCCATTGTTATTCGTTGTGAAGTTCAGGACTTGTGAGGACAATTCCGGGATTTGGTTCTTGTGTATTTGCCACATGGAATCGTTGAAAAACTCTGTTTGTGTAATGCAATCCCCATTTTGCCCTTCGAGTACCGAACCACTTGTGTCGAGCATGAATAATGAGCTTGAAGATGAAGAGATCACGGGTTGTTCTTGAATTGGTTGCTTGATGTTGTTTATGCCCAAGTCCTGATTCAGGAAACTCAAATGGGTCGGGTTGTACCCATAATCGGAATGTGGTTGATCCATGCTTGTAGAACTTGTACTCAAACGCCTTGTCGTCATGCTTGTTGAAGACGGTTTTCGGTTGATCTTTTTCTTAATCCATGAATTCCAATAGTTTTTGATCTCGTTATCCGTTCGTCCAGGCAAATGGCTTGCTATGTGGGCCCATCTATGTACAAGTCCATTATGCATTATCAATTTTTTGTATGGTTGTAATTAAGTATGATATATATGATATAATAAATTGACACATAAAGTAAGCATGACGAATGCGTATGATCATCTAAAAAACATGCAAAATATAGTGAAATATAATAAGCTTAAATATAATAAATTGACACATAAAGTAAGCATGACGATTGCGTATGATCATCTAAAAAAACATGCAAAATATAGTGAAATATAATAAGCTTAATTAAGTTGTGACATTGTTTTCAACATTTAAATGCATCATAAACAACTTTGAAAGCGATAATTAAGTGCTTTCTAGCAACCATGCTGTAGTTTTACTCGAGTAGTCTTATTCCTAAGATCCTAGACGGAAGGATAGATATATAATTAGAGTAAGCTTCAAGTGCAATCTATTATATTTGTACAATCAATGCAAACCAATAATTGAGATATTTATGGAAATGATGAGAGTTCATTTATTAATTATAATTTGAATATTTATGGAAGATGACTATAACTTATTAATTATGATCAATACTTTATATTAGAAAACAATCAAAACCTTTATTAAATCAAATTTTCATTAAATTAAACGGATGGTTAAGATTGAGCTGTATTGGTTGTATAAATGTAAAGGGTTGCATAATAACTCACCTCTATATGATTAATATAGAGAGAGATATGATCATACGGAAAAAATCGATCAACTTATGAACAATTATAAGAATGGTCAAATTACATATGATTACAAAGATACATATAATACAACACGTCTAGAAAGACGTGTTGAACTGGTCACTGCGGCCACGGTTGAGTGTAAAGTCATGTGTCCAATGGCTGGTTAACATGGCGTGTGTGTATCAGATACGATTTTACTCTAAAATCACATATGATTTTTATGATTCTTGTATTTTCTGTAAGTTGATCGTCTTCTCTTTTGATCCCGTCTATATATGTGTGTGTATATATATATATATGACGTCGATAGCACACTCAGTATTTTGTTTTATAATGGCTACGTTTTCAATATCCTGTCTTCTAGTTCACTTTTAGTCATATAGACAAGATTTTCATCTTATTCAATACTGAACATTCCATGTAAAACTACTTTGTTTGGATCATTCTCTTCTATAAATGTTGAAAAACTTCTTTCTTTTCTTAAGAGCTTTAAAAAAAAACTAATGAGGTTATACATATTCTTATTGTAGCATATGTCATTTAGTTGTATACAAGTTATAAAAACAACTGTCATTGAAAACTTATGCTAATGTATAAATATAAAAAATTCTTGAAAGCAATTTGATTAACACCTCATAACATGGTCTAGATTAATAATTAAAGTATATTAGTTGTTTAATTTTACATTTTGTAACTGTCGTTATATTATGCGAAATGAATAAAATATGAATGAGTGATCATGTATTTGATGTGTAATAAATTAAAATAACGACTGAACTTGCAAAAACAAGAATGAAAATGATATATCATATGTAATCTAAAAACTATAAGAATCATTGGAATATTGTTACTTGTAATATATATATATATATATATATATATATATATATATATATANTATATATATAACGAATTCTACGTGTACTTCCCATATAATTAATCATGACTAGAATATATATTTCTTTTCATGAATTACTGTATTATTTTTTAGTTGCAAATAATTGTATGTCATAAAATATTTTTTTCTCAAATCATAAAACTGTTTTGATTTAATGTTTGATGACTGCTGCATAAAACTTATGTAGTAACTATTGTGAAGGTTGATTTTTAGAGAACTGACTTGTTTCCTACAACGCTGTGAAGGTTGATGATCAATTTTTCTTCGTCTGGTGTGAACTTTCCTCTTCGAATATCGGGTCTTAAATAGTTTATCCATCTCAATCGACAACTTTTTCCGCACCTTTGAAGCCCTGAAACTAAAACAACGTTCTTTGAGACATGCATATTCACACAAATACTTAAAATGTGATTCTTAATCGTGCATTGCCACCCCAAAATAGCAATGCAGGTAACAGTGCTATCTCACATCACAAGGTGATTAAAGGGTATTTGAAGGATGCTTGTTGGGTTGTAGTGTACAAATTGTTAATGCAACTCACAAAGAAAATTAAGTCATCATCTCTCTTTCCCATGGATTATACGTGTGTATATATATATATATATATATATATATATATATATATATATATTATTTGAGAATTCAAAAAATTGTGAGATCTATGAAAATATCTACCTTAAGGTTATGTTTAACATGATCTTTTTCCACGTAAATTCATTATTTAATATATTAATTAATATATATTTGTTTCACAATATATGTATTTTGTATGTATGCGGTTCACAATACATACTTATATTTTTTGTTTCACAAACACACAAAAAAAGTTTACATTATGAAACGAATATATGTTGTTCACTACATTAAATTCTAGTTATAAAAAAAAAAAAAAAAAGCATATGAAATAGTATATAATGTACTTGTTTTTAAGATTATCACAACTTAACGAGTTTTCAAAAAGAAGTTAACCTGTATATCTAATGATGTGGACCAAGAATTGACAAAGAAACATATGTCTGCATTGTCCAATTCAAGTCATGATATCTATCAAACCCTAATTAAGGTATATATTAAGCATGTTTTATCTAGTTGTACAATACAGCATATCAATGCGTTTGTACAAGTTACGTCACCATCTCTTCACCACCAATGTATAATGAGATATGATATGTACCAAGATAGGATCAAAAACATGAACTGTTCAAATGTCTCATTAAAACATGGGTGTTTTTCTGTCAATAGAACGAAAAATAGAGGAATAATATATAATATCTATATATATATATACACACACAAAATTATGGAGAGAGAGAGATGAAAAAGAAGAAGAAGAAGAAGAAGAAGAGAGGGAGAAAGAGACCAGCTTTCTCAGGAACTTCACTCCAGCAGCCATAGCCATGAGTTGTGATGAACCGAATGAGCTTTTCGTCTTCCTCAGGTGACCAAAGTCCTCTTTTAACCTTCTGTTGGTTACAACATGAATGCTGCCCCATTCTGATCTCTCTCTTTCTCTCTCTCTCTCTCTCTCTCTATATATATATATATATATTATATATATATATCTTCAAGTAGTGTGTGTTCTTGTGGTTCAGCCAAGTAAAACAAGAACAAGAAACATGGCCACCATATATGAAGATTGAAGGAAAAGGGTGTCTAGATATATGTGATTCTTGCCTTTTAAATGTGTTGGAAATACAAAAGCGGAATGGTGTTGGGACCCACTGCTCTGTGGGGTCAAGCTTTCATCTAACCCTAAAAGGACACTTCATCCAATTCATGTTGCATTTTTCTACGTAGATTTGTAGTATTACGTAACCAACGTCACGTACTTGCCTCTCTATATCAAACACACACACTCACTCACGATACACAAATATACAACCCCTTACGCGCATATTGGTCTTTTTCTTCAAGGATGTTGATTAGACCATTGTTGAATCGTTTAGCCATAAAATCATCTCATCACTAGAATAGCTAATTTATTTTATGGTTTCTATATGATGTAAAAAGATTTTATATATATAGAGGTTGGATTCCGGTGAAACAGTGGATTCCAGTGAAACAGGGAAGAAGAAATCTCCATCTTTACATCAATTATAATTGGAGGTCAACATTAATGAGATACATCGAATCAATTTATGTGAGAAACACAATCTATGGGGTGGGGTGAGATTAAGACTGATTATGGATCTAGATCCTTTTTCAGGTTTCTTTTCTTAACTTTTATTCTTACACGGTTCATCGTATGGGTTATTTAAAAGAGAAATGGTTTGTTTGTGATAATCATGAGATTCAATTTCAACCACAAATCAATAAATAAAATAGAAAATTAATAATTATAGTAATTTTGAATTAAAATTTAATTAAAATGCATCTTGGTTATTTTAAAACTCTCCTATCCCCTCTCCCCTCTTCCGACCTCCAACCTCCGGTGAACTTATTCCGATGAACACTAAGATACACAATGTGATATCTAAAAATATCGACATTGTTAAAGAAAAGATACATAAAAACGACCTTTAGTGTGATACATATTTTGATACTTAAGAACTTCTAATAGTAAGACACAAACACAATGTGATACCCACTATGATATCACCAAACCCGCTGTGTTACACATTGTGATACCCAAGAACTTTAATACACAAATTCATTGTGATACTACTGTGATACCCAATTGTGATAACACTGTGTTACCGTCTTGAATATGGATTGAGATGAAATCTTATATGGGTTTTATATCAAACATAACCACTATGATACCCACATCAAAACTTGAAGAAAATAAAGAAAGAATAACAACAACATCAAACATAGGGTCAAACCAGAAAATGTCCTTAAAACCATGGATATGGAAACCAAGAAAAACTCATATTTGAAACCAGAGAGGGGGGGGTTTAGAAACCAGATCTATCTTTATCGTCCTCATCAGCTGCTCTGATAATGTAGTTCACGTTGGTGTTTGATTTCAATACGTTTATGAATTATTGGGTCCTTGGTCTTTGATTTTCAAACGCGAATCCTCCAGTCCTGATGGTCGGTTACCGATCAACCATTCACGTCTCCATCACCTCATCTCCTCCTTCCCCGCCGGTTACCGATCTTTTTCTGATTACTTCTTTCCATGGCTGCCGGTAGAAATTAAGGGAGATTGAAAGAGAATCTTTTTTTTTTTTTTTTTGATTAGTAGTGAGATATATGAAAAGATTTGATAAGCCTGATATATGGAAATATATAAACATGAGTTGTAATATTTTTTTACAAAATTACCTTTTATGATTATTTAAACTATAATAATAATAATTATCTTAAATGATTGGTTAATATTAAATCTCATTATTACTCATATCTAAAAGTGTTACAATAAGTTTATAAGACGCTTTTAGACGTTTTAACAGATTTATGAAGAAGCTTTTAGAAGCATCGAAAAGAACTTGTTAAAACACATAAAAACATCCTATGAACTTATTGTAACGTTTTTAAATATGACTTTTTTTATATGGTCCTATAAACTTGTGTTCTATAAAGTATTCTTTTAGAACACCTTTTTATTTTAAGTGTCCTATAAAATCAGTTTTGTTGTAGTAAATCATTTAATTCAGGAGATTTGAACCAGTAGGCTATGTAACACTATTTCTTATCAATAAAGAAACTATATGTTATTTTTGCTGATAAATCTACCAAGTGAACCACATTTATGTTGAAATAAAATGCAAACTGCAACACCACGCACCAAGAGATGGGGTGTGATTTAGATTTGGTGTGGGGTTGTGGGAAGGCTCTGTTTGGGTTTAACCTCATTTTGGCTAGGGTTTAAGTGTTCTTGTAATAGCTTATTCCGTAAGCGCCTTTGGTAGACTTTGAGGTGAATTTTGGAGGGTCTGGTTTTGAGGATTGTAGGATCTTTGTAAAGGTAAATCTTATTATAAATTTTCCATCCGTTTGATCGTCAATATATAAACTTTGTCTCTACATTGTGAATGTACACTATCTCATAACATTGGAAGTACGTTAAATGTTTGTTGTATTTTTTTTTATTTCCTTGCATTTATTTGTTGAATATCGATGTTGTTGGTTTGCATTTATATATATTTTGTTGGTACATTTGAACACATTTGAAATCCGTGTTTTCTTTATTAGTTGTTAGGTTGTAACGTTTCTCATGTGGAAACTATCCCCCGAAAGTAAAACCATAAACTAACACATGGTCGTAAAAGGGCGTTTGCATCAAGACATCTCAATTTCACAATGGTTGGGAACAAGTGATTATTTGTGGATTTTTCTAAATAGCCTTTTAATCGCAAAAAGTTAATTTTACTTGTTGCAATGAAACTCAAGGCAACGTGTGCTTTAAGCGTTAGCGTTAGCAATTCTTTCCCCTTTTTGCAATCATTGAAGTATCTTCTTTAAATGAACAAAAGACAAAATGAAATCAAAGTCCCACCCTTACAAAACCAGAAACGCTTGATGAACTCACACCTTTCTTCTTCAATAATCATCTTTCTTTAACTATGAATGCTAATAATTACCCATAATTTCAAAAAGAATATGAAAATATTTGATATTCAGGGGAAAATCAATAGTTTCATGTAAATACATACATCAATATGTGTTATGAACACAAAAAAAATGGCGTTAAAAATAAAAATGAACAAAAAATGGATATAATTGTATTACACATGTGTGATATGAAAAGTGAAAGTAAGATAATTATCGAGTAGCTAAAACAAAGTAAGAGCAAGATCTTGATAAAACAATATATGCTCGTGTTTAAATAAGACAAATACGTTACGTATAAATATATATATATATAATTGTGAAATAGACATCTTACTAACCAAAATTATAGCCCTCTACAGAATATATTCTTCATCAATGGAACCTATCAAACAATAAGTAATTGTAATTCACAAATTAATTGTGAATTTAAAAAAGAAAGAAACCAAAATAATGTCTACTTTAGTTTTAAAATATTGTTGTTTATTAGCTATTATTTATTTTGATTTTAAATGTTAAATTTGAATTATTATGTTTATTATTTATTTTTTCTACAATATTAATACATTTGTTTAAATTTATAAAGTTCATTGATATAGTTGTTTAAAAACAAATAATATGTCTATTTTTTTTTAATATAGGCTATTTTATAGCACCTAAGTTTACAAAATTAAGCATTTTTAAAGTATTGAAATAAGTTTATAGGATGTTTTTAGACATCTTAACAAGAGAAAAGTTATGACACATTGAGTTTGGCTCCAAAGGTCAAAAGTATCAGAAGGTCACAGGTTCAAATCCAAATAGAAATAAATATCTTTTTGTGGCCACAGAGGTTCAAATGCGGTGACTCACTACTAAAAAATCGGGTTTTTCCGACGGCAAAATCCGTCGGAAATCCGTCGGAAAAACAACTTTCCGACGGATTTTGCCGTCGGAAAAACCCACGCCGCTAAATGCCTTTTCCAACGGAATTTCCGACGGATTAAATTCCGTCGGAAATTTTAAAAAATGTTTTTTTTTTATTTTTTTTTTCTCAACTTTAATTTAAAAAGAAATATAAAAAAAACATTTTTTATAATTTCCGTCGGAAATCCGTCGGAAATTTAAAAAAAAATGTTTTTTTTATTGTTTTTCCTCAACTTTAATTTAAAAAGAAATATAAAAAAAAAATTAAATTCCGTCGGAAATTGTTTTTAATTAACACTAATTAATTGATTTAAATAAATTAGACAAATTTTGCGACGGATTTCCGACGGATCTGTGACGGTTTAGAATAAGTAAAAAAATCCGTCAGAAATCCGTTACAAATCCGTTTTAAATAATTTTAATTTTTTTTCCGAAAAATTCAGTGGAGGATTTGTGGGGGATCTGTGGCAGATGTGACTCCGGACTATCTGCAAAGCAGGTGGTCGCCCTGGGATTAGTCGGCTTGCATAGCGGGTTGGATATTCAGGTTACTAAAAAAAAAACTAAGTGTTTTATTAGTCTTTTTATATGACAGTATTTGAAAAAAATGTCATTATAAATCAAGCATCCTATAAAAAGATGTGTTTATAGAAAAGTTATCAAATGTATCATATAAAAAAGATAATAGGACAATATGTATCATAAATGTTTTAAACAGTTTGATAAGACACCCAAAAATATTATATAAACTTATAACAACATTTTTAGATAAAATACACAAATGTTTCGTCCTATAAATAATTTGTTACAACGTTTAAATATTTTTTTTTCTTATAAAGAGAAATTACTCAAAATGACCACTTTATACGTGGTACACTAATAAAATGATCATTTTTCAGACTTTTCTCACAAAATGACCATAAAATTGGCCATGGAGGGTGATTTTACTTTATGGGGGCGATTTTATTATTTGAGGTACGGATGAGTCCCACATGTATACTTTTTAGGGGACAAAAATCTTATTTTTTTGAGAATCTCATGCAAATCGCCCATACCCCATGCAAAATCGCCTCCAGGGCGATTTTGACCT